TTTTATTGAGACAGTTTTATTTTGTTGCCCTTGGTAGAGTGCCGTGGGGTCATAGCTCACAGCAACCTCAAACTCCTGGGCTCCAGGGATCCTCTTGCCTCAGCCCAAGTAGCTGGGACTATAGGCCCCTGAAACAACATCCAGCTAACCTTTTCTTTTCTTTTTTTTTTTTTTTTGAGACAGTCTCACTTTGTCTCCCTCAGTAGAGTGCCATAGCGTCACAGCTCACAGCAACCTCAAACTTTTGGGCTTACGAGATTCTTTTGCCTCAGCCTCCCAAGTAGCCAGGACTATAGGCATCTGCCACAACGCCTGGCTATTTTTGTTGTTGTTGTTGCAGTTGTCATTGTTTTAGCTGGCTGGGGCCAGGTTCAAACCCACCAGCCTCAGTGTAGGTGGCCAGTGCACCCTACCCATTGAACTATAGGCACTGCCATGCTTGGCTATTTTTAGAGATGGAATCTCTCTCTTGGTCAGGTTGGTCTTGAACCCATGAGCTCAGGTAATCCACCCAGAGTGCCAGGCCTTATTTCAGCTTCTTGCAGATATCAGATGTTATGCATTTATGTTTATAAATATCCTACTAAAGCACACCTCTTGAATGCTTACAGCATTTACTTATTAAAAAATTAGGAATCTGAAACTTCTGTAACATTCTGAAACAACCATTTGAATCTGAAACTATTTTAAAACAGTCAAGAGTTTAGTATGTTAGAAACCACATTATATTGCTGGGATTACCTTCAGCATCCCATTGGAAAACTGTATAAAAGACACTGGATATTATTAACTTGATCTATGAATTCTGAATTAATAGCTTGCAAATTAGTTTTTTAAAAAAATTCCTGATAATCTTCTATTGTATCATAAGGTGATATTTCCCCTATACTTTATAGGGGAAAAATTTGCCTATAGTTTTCTTTTGTCTTAGATTTTTCCTTCAATTTGTTGTTATGCCCCTCATGTTTTTTTTAGAGGACTACATGGCCTTGACTGAAAAGTAACAACTGTTGCAATAGGAATTTGTTTACTTATTAAAATCCTGTGGCTGCTAGTCCTACTGTTTAAATACTGTGTTTTTCTTTCAAATTTCACAAATAGCTTGGAAATGACTAGAACATTTGTGTTCTTAACACTGAGGAAATTCCTATGTAGATAAGTGAGGCCAGCTGGGGGATCCAGCGCAGAATTTAATGTCTTCTTGGAATGGAAGACACTGTCATATGTCCCAGGCATTTCAGGGGCCCCTGTTTCTCTGTATGCATTATAAATGGGATTTTTCTTTTGTTTTTGGTTAGGGCTAATGGCAATTGGTGTCAGAAGTGAGTACAAAAGCCAGATGTGGTGTCTCAGGCTTGTAATCCCAGCACTCTGGGAGGTCGAAGAGGATGGATTGCTTGAGCTCTGGAGTTCAAGACCAGCCAGAGCAAGAGGTAAACCCTGTCTCTACTAAAAATAGAAAAACTAGCCAGGTATCATGGCGGGCACCTATAGTCCTAGCTATAAGGGAGACTGAGGCAAGAGGATCTCATGAACCCAGGAGTTTGGGGTTGCTGTGAGCTATGATGCCACCACATTCTAGCTTGGGTAACAGAAAATAAGTAAATAACAAGAGGTACATCCTTTCCCCACTAATTTAAATGAATTATCTACTTAATCATATGTTAAATTCCCATGTACATTATAGCCCTTGTTTTATTGAGAATTTTCCAATTTCTATAATAATACCCCACTATACTAATTACTTGCCTCAGCCTCTAGAGTGCTAGGATTAGGCCTGGTTTTAGATCTTTTGCATTATCAATTGAGGGGAGGAATATCCAAGTCCAAGGGGTTAGTTTTAACTAAGAATTTGAGTAGTAATTCCTAGAGTTTTGTATTTATAGAGTTGTTTCAAAACTGGCTTCAAGGGTGGAAAAATTAAGAAAAACATAACATGAATTATATTGCAATTAGCCAAAGGTCATGCAAGGTGGCAGAGATAACTGACAAGCAGTTTCAGGCCTGTTCTTGCCACGGCCATCAGCCCCTCTAGTTAGCTTCTGCTTTAAGAGTTGTTTTTATTTTATTTTATTTTGCTTTATTTATTTATGTATTTATTTTTTGAGACAGAGTCTCACTTTGTCGCCCAGAGGTGTCATAGCTCCCAGCAACCTCAAACTCCTGGGCTCAAGCAATTCTTTTGCCTCAGGCTCTGGAATAGCTGGGACAACACTGCCAGAACACTCAGCTATTTTTTAGAGACAAGGTCTTGCTCTTGCTCAGGCTGGTCTGGAACTACTGATCTCAGGCAATCCATCTACCTCAGCCTCCCCAGGGGCTAGCATTACAGGCATGAGCCACCATGTTGGGCCCTATTTTACTTTTTATCATTTTATTTTTATTTTATTTTATTTTTTATCTCTATAACCTGGCCTAGCATGAAAAAGTGACATCATAGCTTCTAGGGACCTCAAACTCCTTAGTTAGATTGATATTCCCACCTTCAGCCTTCCAAAGTGCTAGGATTACAGGCCTGAGTGTTATACCTTGCCTAGTTGTTTATTTTGACATCTGATCTTCAAGGCCCTACATCTGGTGTCAGCCTGGTCTCTTAGTCTCTTACTCTTCACACAAGGAGATGTCTTGTCTTCAGCAGGTGGGGGCCATAGTGGGAGCATCTAGGAGGGTCCTCATAGTGGTTTTCATTGGCTTGGGGGGTGCAGGGGAAATTTGACCTTTCCACTGAAAGTTCACTCAAAGATCATCTCACAATTAAGGCAGATTACTAAGAGACAGGATTCACTTACTCTGTCCACAGGGAAAAAAAATCACAGAGTGATAATCCAATTTTGCAAGGGAGTTCAGTATCTTTACACAGGCTTTTTAGAGGGGAGGGAGGAATTGAAGAGTATAGGGCATAACAGGTTGCCAGGGAGGATGAATGAATGGGGGAGAAATAGACTGACTTGTAGATTAACCTGAGAGACAGATGTTTATGACCTGAACATTTGGGTAAGGTCCTCTTATATCCCTATCTCTCATTCCTGAAATATTTTGGGGTAACAGGAAAGAGGAAAGGGAGTCATTGTTCCCTTTGATCCTCTGTTCAGATGAGTCCAGTTTATGCAAAGATCGGGAAGTCCTCATCCAGAGTTTTTTGACCTTGAATGGCCTTTAATTCAAAATATTCTTTATACCAAGGACTCTTACTTTGGGGTGAAATTTCTTTAGCTCCTTCAAGGGACAAGGCAGGCAGGTGAGTTCTAGGTCCATACTGGGAGTAGAGTCCCATAGGAAGGAGCAAAGAAAATTTTGAGAATGCATGTAGTAAGAAAAAGATAGTCAGTCAGGCTTGGGCCAAGATGACCCAGCTGGTCTGTCCATGTAGGTCCTACATGACCTTTATCTCATCTCTCCTTTCTTATTTTTTTATAAATTCAGCTTTAACCTGAAGGTATATATTTGAGTAGTTCAGGGTGCTTGATTTAAGATATTAACTTTTGAATTGGAATGTTATCTATGGGTCATATCAATTATTGTTTATTATGGATCATGGGTTATGGCAACTACTGTTTAAGATAAATGTTAATTACTGTTGTTTAATATAAAGGTTAGTACTCTTCTTGTTTTTAACTTTTATGTAAAAAACTGTGCTTTTGGAAATGGAAGAACAGAACAGTCTTGGAGAAGCTACCCTCACTGTTCTCCAGAATCGCTGGCCTTCTGACAATAAAGTTTGGTGGACCTATCCCCATTTTTGCCTATTGGCTGGACAGGGACAGGTGGCTGGACCCTCTTTATCCAGTAAGAGTTTCACCCCCCAAATATAACCAGTTGATATGAAGAATACTTTGATTTAAAGGCCATTCAAAACTGAACTTACCTGATCAAAAGATTAAAGGGGGAAATGAACTTCCTTTTCTCTCCCAGTTATCACAATACTTTGTAAGAAAGAGGATTGAGAATGGTAAGGCACAAGGTCTAAATCATTTAAATACTTGTCACTCACTCAGGTTAATTTACAAGTCAATCTGTTCCCCCTATCTATTCATCCTTCCTAGCAACCACACTGGCACCTATGTTCCACATTCTCCCCTCCCTTCTAACAGGCATCTATAAGAGATGACCATGATGATGACCATAATGATGACCGTCATTGAGACACTGGGTAATCACTGTTGTGATTCCTCCCATGTGCATAGTAAGGAAACAAATATTTCTCTTATTAATCTGACTTAAGTTTCCCTGGCCCCTATGATGTTTGGGTAACAGAACAGCATGAGGGGGCCAGTCCGGAGGGTTGAGCTTTAGGGAGGTTTGAGCTGTAGAGTATTCTGCCAGAGAAGAGGAGGTACTGTTACAGAAGGCTTGGCACTAGTCCCTAGAATGCACATCAGAAAAATGGTGACAAGTGGTTTGAGGAGAAGGCAAGTTTATTAATTTGCCAACAAATGAGGAGGCTGGCAGACTCCCATCTAAAAAACAGCAGCATCCCTCTGAACAGAAGTACTGAGTTTAAAGGTTCTGATTAATCCCATTTTGGATAATACAATCTTATGACCTCTGCCTGGATTAATCTTATCTCTAAAATGACCTTGTGAGAAAAACAAGATCACCCTCAGAAAAACAGGTCAGAAAGCAGCCATTCTCCTCCCCAGACTCTTGGAGTGCTTCAAGGACAGGGTTTCTGGGAAATACCCTACTCACATACGCCCATAATCCTGATCCATACTAAAGAGGCCTGAGCTGTACGCTGGGCTCACTTCCCCATCCCAGCTATACTGGTAAGGCTAATATAAGCCTTTTGCAACTGGTAGCTAACCTGATATCTGGTCACTGTCTATTCTGCTATTTCCCTCTATTAAAGTCTTTCCTTGTTCCAAAACAGGCCTCCTCTCTTTTCTTTTGCCCACCCACCTGGGTTCTGTGTCAGAACCTGTCAGATATAGTGACCTCTGCCCAGACAATTCCCTTGAACTATCTCCTCTGGCACAAAGAAAAAAGACATTCTGTTGGGTTTCAAGACAAGTGCCTGGGTCTTGGGTTCTTGGAGTGTTCTTAGTCAGAAAATGACCAGACCTCCACAGTAAGGCAAGCACAAAACAAGGTTTATGGGAGAAGAGAAAGATGGTTTTATAGAGTAAGAAAGCTTAGCAAAGCAAGCTACGTTAGTCACAGACAGCAAATGAAGCTCCATTGCCAGGCCAAGTAGGCAGAGGCAGAGTTACGGTTGGTAGTTCTTTTTTATATTCCTTGGGTCAGGCCTACCTATGGTTCAGAAGTCACCTTGGAGTCTTACTGAGCATGTGGACCTCCCACGAGCCTCCCTGAGAACCTATGGTAGGGGAGTGGATCACATGATAAGTAGTCTTAAGGCTGTTTTAGGTCACCTTCAAGACTCTATTGTACATGTTAGACTAGAGTCTAGCCTTCCTAATGCTGCAACCCTTTAATAAACAGGTTGTAACCCATAGGTTGAGAACCACTAGGCTAGAGGGTCTTCTATATCCTTTTGTAGTTGGACCACTAAGTTCTGATTGGTAGACTGGTAGGGTTTTCCTGCCTCTCCAGGAGAGCTAAAGGCCTATATGCCTCTGACCTCTCTCTTTTGGGAGAGAGTAGTGAAAAGACTTTGTGCAGGCATACTTGTAAGAAACTGAGTCAGAATCTCATGTGGCCAGGTTGGTTGCAAGCCTAACATGACCAAAGCTTTGGCTGGAATAGCATTTCCAGATTGCGTTAAGGAATTAAGGTGGACTTTATAAGGCCAATGAAAAAGCCCTTTGGAAAACTGGCCAGATACCCATCAGTAACCTTTCCTGATCTGTGGTAAGTGACGAAGGTCACTTACTGACGGGTCTGGGTTCCTGATGTGTGGTAAGTGATGAAGGTTGCTTGCTGATGGGTCTGGGAATGGAATAACCTTTTCTGATCTGTGGTAAGTGATGAAGGTCACTTGCTGACAGGTCTGGGAATGGAAATGTGCCAGAGAACCTCAAGAGAAGAGGAAGTTACCCAATGCATACAGGTATCTAATGGCACAGATGAAACCTGGGCTCATGAAAGGCTTTTGAGAAGTCCAGCCTGAGAATTCCTTATAAAAGGCTCCAGCAGGCTCGGTGCCTATGGCTCAAGTGGCTAAGGCGCCAGCCATGTACACCTGAGCTGGCAGGTTCGAATCCAGCTTGGGCCCACCAAACAATCATGATGGCTGCAACCAAAAAATAGCCAGGCATGTGGTGGGTGCCTTTAATCCCAGCTACTTGGGAGATGGAGGCAGGAGACTCATTTGAGCCCAGGAGTTAGAGGTTGCTGTGA